CGTGGGTGCTCAGAGTGGTCTGGTAGATATCCAGCTCAATTCCGGGGACCAGTTGAAATAGGGTCCCCTACTCCTCCACCATCTTTCCCCCTCCCCAACATACACACTATTTTGAGTTGTTTCTAAAACTTGCAAAATGAGCTGATAAAAATTCTTAAGGAAATATTGCTTTTGGCATAATGATTTTAAAGCACACAAAATATGTAGTCATTATTCAATAATTTTTTAAGAAGGGGAAAATGGCAATATTTCAAACCTTGGAAATATAAAAAACTTATTCTTAAAGGAAAATTATAATTCTCATGTCTTTAGTCTTTCTTTTTTTTTTATGTTATGTTAATCACCATACATCACACCATTAGTTTTTGATGTAGTGTTTTTAGTCTCTTTCTTTGACACTCTTTTCAACTAAAGATTCTAATAGAACACCAATTTTATTTTCACTAGCAAATTTAAGCTTTCCCCATTTCTTTTCGTTCAAAATTAGTCCACTTATTTCATGCGTAACAATGAAATTGTTAGGGGCGCCTGGGTGGCTCAGTTGGTTAAGCATCTGCCTTAACCAGCATTTGACCGGCTCAGGTCATGATCCCCGGGTCCTGGAATCAAGTCCCGCATTGGGCTCCCTGCTCAGCGGGGAGCCTGCTTCTCCCTCTCCCTCTGCCTGCCTTTCTGCCTACTTGTGCTCTCTCTCTCTGTCAAATAAATAAAATCTTAAAAAAAAAAAAAGAAGAAAGGAGAACAAAACTTTCCTTTAAAAAAATGAAATTTTTAGTATCCAGTTTAAAATTTTTGTTTAATTCCTGAATATTAGCTGACATTAATTTGGTAGCTCAATTTGACATCTCTAAAGGAGTAGTTGCACATGCAAAGCATTCAAAGAATTATTTAAGTATGGTACAGAAATCACACATTTACCTGATAAGAGCTTTTTCTCCAAAGTATTCTCCTTTCTGCAGTGTTTTTATCAGTTGTGGTTGATCATGGCCCTCTGTGCTCTGGGTGACTTTTACCTAAACGATGTTAAACAATTAAAAAGAGAGGGGAAAAAAGAAAAAAATGAGAATCTGGTTGAATATCCATTCACCCAGACCCTTTGGATCTATAAAAATTTGACTGAAATAAGGAAATAGACAAGCCTTTGCTTTAACTTTGTAGTAGTTAGGACAATCTTGCTACAGTCAACTCATTTGGAGGGACCGAGAAATCCTGTGATTTAACACAACCAAATGACTCCCCATCTGTAAGAGAAAGATTCTCCATTCAAATCCTACCTCTCAAAGTTAAAATTTTTTATGTGAACCCAGTGATTCCTTCCTAGAGATATTCGAGACAAATAATAATGGTCTTGTAGGAACTTCCATTATTTCAAAATCCAAGGAGAGTTGACAAATTAATCAAGAATAAGGCTAAGTATCAGGAGTTTTGAATCTGGTGTCCATGATTGACTTGTTAAATCCCTTTACCCTCTAAAACTGGATGCAAAATGTGGATTTGGAGAAGGGTCATAACTTTCATGGGTGTCTCAGTGTGACCCATGGCCCAGGAGAGTTTAAGAATTCCCACGGCAGAACCGAACAAAAACTTCAATATTTCTGTTTGTGGCTAGAATTACACCAATTCAACATGATAACGAGGGTTGCTTTGTGTTGGTTAGACATTCTGATTAGCATTTACGGAAGTTGCAATGAATTAAAATTTTAAAAAACAATAAATGTAATTTGTTTATTAGTCGGAATGCTTTCAAAGCAGGGGGTCCAGGTTGCGGAGAAATGATAAAAAGTGTTTCTGAGTGTTGAAGAGTTTCTGAGGTTTGAAACTATTTTGTTAATCTTGTTTTCCTTCACTGGGTGCCCAGGTCAAAGTTCAACCACAAGTCAATTTACAAAGGGTAGTGCCTGACAAACTTTTCCATGGAAGAAAGAACATCTGTAAAATCCAGGCAGGTTAGGGCGCCTGGGTGGCTCAGTCGGTTAAGCGGCTGCCTTCGGCTCAGGTCATGATCCCAGGGTCCTGGGATCGAGCCCCGCGTCGGGCTCCCTGCTCGGTGGAGAGCTTGCTTCTTCCTCTCCCTCTCCCTGCTGTTCTGCCTACTTGTGCTCTCTCTCTCTCTGTCAAATAAATAAAATCTTTAAAAGAAAAAAAAAAAAAAAAAAAAAAAAATCCAGGCAGGTTATGGATGCAGGTGCTCAAGTTTCACTCTGTCATTCAATATTTCACTAATGCCTTTTATCTCTGAGGAACATTGTAGACAGAGTCAACATAGGAACAACTGGTAACATGTTATCCACTCAGTATCTAAGTAAAGAAAAAGATCTACTGTATATATACTGGCATAATATTTTCCTCAGCATCTAAACCAACTTGCGCTATGATATATGAATTGAAGTTTGAAGCCATATCATTCTATAGCTTCATGGCTGGCCACTGTTGTCCTCAACTGTCAAGTTCATTCTCCCCACACTTGTCACATCCATTGGATGGAAATATTTTCCAGCCTGATCTTGGACCCTTGGGCTGATTGAGAATCTCAGATAAAAGAGATCTTAGAAAGAATCTAGTTATTTTATGCACAATGAAGAGAGGTCCAAAGAAAGTCAAGCAACATGCCTAGGATCACTAAGAAGTTACTGTCTCAGCTAGTACCCATCACAGGTCTCTTGCACCCCCAAACTCGGTGTTCAGACCAAACCTCACAGGACTCTTCTGAACAGAAGCTCCTTCACCTGTTCAATGCAGAGACTTTCCATAGCATTAGTTCCCAAACTAATGGGAACTGACCTTTTGATTTACTTTAAGTAAGCTGTAATTAATATTTACCTTTCCTTTTGCTAAGATGAAGAAAGTACTTCCTTCCTCGCCCTCTCTAATAATGTAATCTCCTTTGTCATAGTATTCCTATTGGGATGAGAGAGAAAGAAAAGGTTAAATCCAATGGAGACATATAGATGAAAGCATAAATGAAATTGAACTCTTCTTGTCTCTGAAATGAGCATTCCATGCCTCTTTCTTTTATTCGTTGTTTACTGTCACTGTAATCTTCTTGAACATTGCAGTCATAAGGTGTAGAAAAAGTACGGAGACTTTTGTTTTATTACGTGCATTTACGTTTATCTTTCCCAGAGAAAATTCACCTGAAAGACTGACTTTCAGGGATGGAAACTAAAGAACATGAAGAGAAATGAGAGCAAAACAATAATCACTGATATACAGGGGAGCTTTCACCTAAATAATCTAAATACAAGCTGTTCAGTGATCTGTAACAGTCTGAAACCGGGTCTAGAGTTTAGAAAAAGATTATCTAATACATTGAAAATATTAGCCCTAGTAGACAGTAGGAATATCAGCCTCAATTTCTAATTCCTTGAAGAGCAAATGCTGGGAAAATCCTACCTACATAGCAAGTAGCTCTTGCATATGGATTCTTTTAAAAAATTTATCATCATAAAAGATCAACATTAGAACTTTCCACATGTAAATTCCATTCTTCCACGTAGGTTTATCCTCATGAAATCTCAAATTGTCACTTATTTCTTTGTTTCCCTCATATATGTGTCTGTAATCAGAGAATTCTTGGGAAGGGAAAAGTAATTCATACATTTGTCAGACCAAAAGAGCAATTCAGTCTCTTAGAAAACAAAAGATGGATTAAACTGTCCACCTCTACTTCACTTTAACATTGTCTCAAAGTCAGAGAACCAAAATGGATCTCTTAATTATTTATACAAATAAAAATGGGCCTGTTTATTTAAAAAGGCATAATTAACAACATAATAGCTCTCTCTTATTTTTCTTTTAGATTTGAAAATAAAATCCAAACAAAACTACTTTTGCGTCTGCTGTATTTCAATACCCTTTTTGGTCATTTATGCTTAAAACCTATTTACATTTTTGAAATAAATATGACTCCTAATACAAATAAACATACCCTTTATTTACAGAGCACTATGTACATTTTGTAAGACATTTCAACATCTCATGGAAAGGAACATAATATCTTAGGGGAGAAAGTCCTTTGAAGCCAAACAGATGTAGATTCAAATCCCAATTCTGCTTTGAATTTCACATCCATCAACCCATAAAGTTCAAATAAGAACATTTACCTTCAAAGATTTAGAGAAGCACATTAGTTTTCTATTGCTGCTGTAGCAAATAACCACACATTTCTTAGTGGCTTCCAACAACACCCATTTATTATCTCACAGTTTCTGTGTCAAAGTCCAGGGTCACCTGGATTTTTCTCAAGGGTCTCACAAGACTGAACTCAAAGTGTCAGGCAGGCTGTGTTCCCTTCTGGAGGCTCTGGGGGAAAAGCCACTTTCAAGCTTAATCAGGCTGTTGGCAGAATTCAGTTTCTAGGATAAGGTCTCATTTCCATGCTGGCTGTCAGGCCCTTAGTTCCTAGAGACCTCTCTGAGGTCCTTGCACAGAGCCTCTGTGCTTCATAACCAATAATGGCTCATCAAATTCTGCTTAGACTTGAAAGCTCCCTGACTTCCACTTCTCCTGCATCTCTCTGACTCCAGCCAGAGAAAATTCTCTGCTTTTAAGGGCTCATGTAATTATATTCATCCCACCTAGATAATCCAGAATAGGCTCCTTATTTTAAGGTCCTGAACCTTAATTATATCTGCCCAGTCTCTTTGGCCATGTAACATAACATATTCACAACATTCCAGGGATTAGGACATTTTTGGGGGGTCCATTCTGCCTACCACAATAAGCCAATTAAAGACCATGTTTTGATGCATTAAAAGCACCTGAAACACAATAAATACTCAATTAATGATTGCCATGTTGAGGAGGAAGATGATTATGGTTTGCTTAACTATTACTTAAATTTTCTATGCCTCAGTTTACTTTTCTATTGAATTAAAATGGCGACCTACCACATCTAATGTTGAGATAGTGTATCTAAAGCATCTGATAGCACATTTGATAAACACTGGGCACCTGGTGACTCTGAATTCCTGTGAAAGAGACTGTGAGCTGGTCATCAAAGCCTTCCACATTATACATGGCTGTCCAGGTTGATTGCACTCCCCAGCCTCCCTGTTAGTTGTAGCATGTGATTAAATTCTAGCTAAAAGAACCTGAGCTGAAGTGATGGGTGCCTTCTCCAGGCAAGGTCCATGAGCTGTTTCAGGCATGTGTCTTCATAGAGAGATCTTGGGAGAGGGATCATCTAGACCTTAGCTTGAGTTCCTGAATGACTCCATGTAGCCACCTGGGACGACCTTCCCTGGACTGTTATGTAAGCAAGAGACAAACCTCTACTTTATTTGGAAAATGATATTTTTAGTTTCTTTTATCCCAGTTTGGTTACTCCAACTCTCTATTCTCTCCTGTTTTATCTTTATCACAAACATTCGCCACATAGAAGCTTAATTTTACAGTTGGGATGACTATGAGCCTTGGTGTTTGAGTGACCCCACTACACAGTTCAGCATTTTCATTATGTAGCTACCATTCAATTCTCTTTTACTGGGACTGCTGGTGTCCTGTTAGATGTCCCTGTTACAGTCTGTTCTATAGTCTCTCTTGTTCCCACCCCAATCTCAGTCCCCACTACCTACATGGAACAGAAAGAACATGGAGAATTTCCGAAGCGCTGGTAGGCTGTTCTTCAGTTATTATAAAGCCTTCGGTGTGTGCAGATGTGTGGCTTTAATTCCTGTCAGTCAGAGAGGCTAAAGGGAAGCTTGAAAGGGAACACTGAGAAAGAGCTTTATTGTTTCTTAAGGGGCAAACTTCCTAGTGGTATTTTTCCTAGGGATGGTTCTTTGTCACCCAAAACCATGGGAGGAAGATAAATAATACCTCCCAGTGGGTTGACAGTAACTTCACAGATCAGAAAAGGCTGTGGATGTAGGTCAGACCAAAAATATATAGTGGTAAGTACAGGCTATGATGCTAGACTGGCCAGTGTTTGTCAACTGGGGAGTGAAGCCAGTCTAGCCAGGGTGGTCACCAAGACCAAAAAGAGAAATGCAAACAGTGTGGTTATTGTCCTGTGGTTACACTGCAAAGGGGTCCCTTATAGGACCAAGAAGCCATAGACCCTATCCTCTGGAGCAATGATTTTCAAACATTTTTTACTCTCAGAGTAAAAAATACATTTTACATGTACACCCAAATAAACCTATTCAAGCATGCACACATATAAACATGTTATAAAACTAAAACATATTTAAATAATGCTTATACTTACTACTCTGATATTTTAAAAGATGTTCCTCCAAATTAATTTCCTGATCTACTAATGAATTGTGACCCAGAGTCTGAAAAAGATATTTTAAAAGAAGATGTGTGGAAACCCTGAGAGTAGTTACTTGGTATATAGCAAAAGGGAAAACTAAGGGAATCGATCCCAGGGCAGACTAAAAGGTAGAGGTCAGAAGAAAACTATACAAACAGCAGTAGCTAAAGATACAAAGAGCTGTAAAGAAAATGCTCTTTCTGTGATATCTAGAAAATGCTAGAGCCTGAATGCCTATAAATAGTATATATAAAACCAGAAGAAAACCCCAAGGTGATGGAGAACAAAGACCAAGAAGCAAGCCCATAGCTTCCTTAAAGTCTTTAGTGTGTGGCTAGAAATCTTCATTACAAAGAAGTATTGATGATACACAATCAGATGTGTGATACACACACACGTGCATGTGCATGCACACACACTCCTGGAATCATGTGACTATGCACCTAGGTTGGTTGTTTAAAAAACTGTATACAATTATTTAGGTTGTTACCAACAATTTTTTGTTTGACCCAGTATGGTAGTTAAACACCTTAGAAATTTTAAAGCAAATACATCTGGATCAGGTGGACCCTCATCAACCATTCAGGCAAAATTTAGTATCTGATTGCTTATTTCCAAGGAACTAGAGCCTACAAAATGAAAACCGACAGAAATCCCTCTAACTTGGGTGAGCCAACTGTTTAGAATTCTGCAACTGAAACGTTGAAAGAGCCTGTGGAGATCTGGCCTACACACCCTTATTTTGTAGATGAGGAAACCCTGATGCCTACCAAAATTCATTGACAGCTGCTAGTGACAGAGCTTGACCATAAACACTAATCTCCACACTTTGGACTAGTGAACTTTCTATGACACCTAGCTGCCCCACCTTTAGCTAACTGGTCCATAGGCAAAATCCACAATTATCTCAACTTTCTTATGACTTTGGATGTAATCATTAAAATGAGAAAACACTCTGGCTTATGCAGGTGTTAGCAGGAACTATAAGAAAGAGAACTAGATTTTTAAAAAATTATGAAAAATGGAAAATTCCTGAATAAAGAGACAGACCATGGCAAACTCTAAATATATGTATTCTATTCATAACTTTAAACTAGTGCTTCTCAAATTCTAATAAGCGTAACAATCGCATCAAGTGTTGAAGTGTGCATTTCTGGGCCGATACCCCAGAGTTTCTGATTCAGTAAGTGCGAGGTGGTACCTGGGCATCTGCCTTTCAAGCAGCACCACAGGTGATGTGGGTAAGGGCAACAACCTTCCACAGGACCCCACCCCTACCCCATTCCTACTATGCCTCCAGTTTCATGAAAGATGGCATGTCAGAGTCATAGGGCAGAGAGTCACTGGGTCACATACCAAAGCTCTGTAACAAAGAGTGAGGTGACGTTTTGGTCAACCACCATCAAATCCCGTGCTTCCTGTGTGTGGGAACAGAAACTCTTCCCACTTTTGTGCTCCATACTGCACAACTGCAGAATTCACATGATCATTTTCATTACCATTAACACTTACACTACATTCGGAATCTGTATCATGCTTCGTGATGTTCACTAGTTAACCCTTGAATGTGTTGGTACTGCTTTCCCATCAGAACACAAGAAAAGGCTTAAAGGGGATGTCTCTGCCTCTAGAACTGCATGTGCTGGGTGACCTAAGCTAAAGCAAGAAATGCTATCAGAATACTGAGCAATTGGAGCCATGGGTCTAGATGTTCAGGAGTCAGAGTCTTCACAAACACTCCAGATCAATGGCTTGGTGACAGGAAATTCCGGTATCCCTTCCCCGCCCCCACACAAAAATTAAAAACCTCCCAAATCAATTCCTAAACAGCATGCCAGATTCAGCCTGTTTTTCTCAAAGATTATGGAGCCAGTTTGCGGGATGGGACAGCTGGGCCTGGAACTCAGCGGGCGTTCTGTTGTAACTCCAATGCATTAGTGATTGGCTGTTGTCAGGACCCTGTTGATGGGTCATTAGTCCAAGCTATGCTGGTAAATTATGTGCTTTTCTTAGCGCTACATAGATCCCATTACTCCCTTGCTAATCACTTTTGCATTTGAGACTTTTCACGTGCTATAGAGACACATTTGTTTGTCAGGTTTGAATAAAGGACCCTTCATAAACTGTGCTGCTGTCTGCAAATGCTGAGATATAATAAAGCCTTTCTAGGGTGTTTTAAAAGATGAGAACTTCTAAACTCAAACTGTGTGTTAATTAATACTGGATTTGCGCCTCCATCTACATATTCTGTAGCTATTGCCTGTGGCTGCAATAAATATGTCTAATTTGCCATTTATTTTTAATGATACTAAATTTTAATATTTGCTGTCAGCATGGAATTCCCCTCTGGTGAATCTACTCTATTAGTATTATATTAAAAACAGATTTCCTCAGTTAACAAAAAAAAATATAGGGCTACCCCAGCTTTAAAACACACACACACACTCTCAGAAATTAGGAAGAATTATTAATTTGTAACATCTGTGACGGGGTTATGTTACGTTGGGAAAATCCCAAGAGATGCAGGGCAAGCAGTCCTCTTGAAAATGACTTCATATCTGAACACTCTGGGGACACAAGGCCAGGCACTGTGTCATCATGGCCTATCCTTGATAAACTGCTGGATAGGTTCCATGAATTGTAAATGGAAACATTACTGGTGTCACTTACACTTAAGGATAAAACGGTCAGTGCTCCTTCTCAACAGATACTAGTTACATTGTATATTGTGATGGACAGAGGCATGAATCTGTCAACAATCAGTCTTGGAGGGATTTTTGTATCTCCCACCGAGAATAGTTTTATAAAAGCTTAAAGTTGGCATGTGACTTCTTTACTATTCCTTACCTCCTTTAAATTCCATAAAAGCCATTTTGGTTTCCCCCCAACAAAAATCAGAGAGAAATTACTTGCGTTGAATTTTAATCTCTGAAATCTGAGAGGTTTTCATATAATGCATATCATTAGAATCTAAGGTACATGTTATAAAAGCTTTATTCACAAAAAGACTTGACTAGTCTTGGACTAGAACCAACCATCTGGGTGATCAGCCTCGTATGAGTTTTTGAACACATTCCAATATGCGGTCTCCCCAAGTCCATGTGAGGTGGTCTAAGGTTTTTCACAACAGAAAAAGGCCCCTGGTCTCTGTAAACTGGCGACCTACCCTCTTTTCCTTGTTATTCATTTACAGTGCTAATAATAACTAGATTCTACAGTCTTTTAATGAAATGTATTTTTTCCTTTATAATTTCTTACCACTTCCAAGCAGTCAATGATCTTGGTTAGTTTATCTTCAGGTAAATTCTTCAGCAAGGATACACTTCAAAATTAAAAAGAAACCTTTAGTTATTGTCCTGAATTAAACTATAAATATGCACCTATATGTAGTTCAAAAAAACTTTACCTTCATCTAAAAAAATATAATGCACTTAATTTTTCCAAAGTAAACCTCCAAAATATGTAACACATAAACAACTGAATTTCAAATGCACTGAAATTATAAAACCACATGTAATCACAGATATTTATCATAGGCAAATACATAAAGATAGTAAGATGTCATAAAGAGAAAAAAACCAAATTTTTTCGGTTTGGGGAAAAAAAAAAAAACACTTTATATTTGTTGTTGGTTTTCAGAGTGAATCACATCCAGAAATGTGTTTCCCTCCATATCTCACTATCTCTTTTTTTAGCATGAGTGAGGAGCTCTGCTTCCAGAGGAGGATCAGATTTTCATCTAAATCCTTGTAATTAAGTAAAGGCTGAATCCAGGGGGGAATGTAGGAATTAGCATGGAAATTATCTTTGATTATTAGTCATACTATACGGTCTTTTAAAAATAATGGTAGCCAGGGGCATGTAATTGGAACATTTTTACAGATAATAATGATACGCAAAGAATGAAATAGAATACGGGAAATTATTATTTGAAAAAAAAAAATCAGGGGCGCCTGGGTGGCTCAGTCAATTAAGTGTCTGGCTTTAGCTCAGGTCATGATCCCAGGGTGCTGGGATCGAACCCCAGGTCTTCATCCATCCCCATCTATCCAGCTCCCTGCTCAGCGGGGAGTTGGCTTCTCCCTCTCCCTCTGCCCTTCCCCCCAACCCCGCTCATGTTCACACTCTCTCAAATAAATAAAATCTTTGAAAAAAATCACTATGGACTCTGAGAAACAAACTGAGGGATCTGGAGGGAAGGGGGGTGGGGGGGATGGGTTAGCCCGGTGATGGGTATTGAGGAGGGCACATACTACATGGAGCACTGGGTGTTGTACGAGAACAATGAGTCGTGGATCACTACATCGAAAACTAATGATGTATTGTATGGTGACTAACATAACATAATAAAATAAAGCTTAAAAAAATAATAATAAAAATCAGAAATTCCACACAGTATGATTAACCAAATGATTAAATTATTCTTAGAGAAATTTCTCTTCTACCGTACCCACTTTTACTCAGGACTGTTGATATAATTTCTATAAGATAAATACTTCTTTCGTACCATCTAAAATTTGACACTTCTAAGGAAAAAAATGATGCTACTCCAAAAATACATGATTGGATCTAATTTTTGAAAAGATAGCTAGCTCTACACTGACTCTTGCATGTGCACACAGGGAGGCACGTAGCCAGGAGACGTAGATGAGAATGTTCATAACAGAATCATCTGTAATTGTGGAACACTAGAGCACGCCCCAATTGGAGAACAGCTAAACACACTGTAGTAGAGTCAGATAACCAAACTCTACAACAGGAGAAATGGCTGAACTAACCAGATGGATGAAATAGTAAAAAATACTGAGTAAAAAACTGAGTCACAAAAGTAACACCATTTGCTTTTTTTTTTAAGTTCAAAAATAGGTTAAATCAAAGTATAGTATAGAAGCTATATAAGCTTCAGTATATAGACCACTCCCAAGAAGAGGCACGTGGGAGGCTGGGAAATGAATGGGGAGCATGTGAGAACAACAATCAAAGTTGTTAATGTTCCAATTGTTAGGCTGGGCAGTAAGTAGCTTGATGACGCTCATTTTGTTATTACGTTTTATAATTTATATATGTACTATATACCTTTTATACATATATTACATACTTCAGAATAAAAAGATATAAATGGAAAAAGAGCTTACTGTATATTATGAAACAAAGAGAAATGTCTTTCTCTAATCTACCTTCCTATGAATGAAAAGGTAAAAGGTAACCAAAACTTGTCATTAACATACGCTCATTGTGAAAGTTCTGCTTCTGGTCCAAACTGGGATCTATAATGTTGGTGAAAATTCTCTCCTATAAACCTGTCACCCTTGGGGATTAGTGAGGAAATTGATAAGAGGAAAAATCTTTAGTCTGTTTCCCTTCCATAAAGAAAGAGATAAGGTTTTTCTGGGTTGCCACTGAACCCACGATGTTTAGGGCCTGGCAATAAGGAGGGGGAGACGAACCATGAGAGAAGATGGACTCTGAAAAACAAACTGAGGGTTCTAGAGGAGAGGGAGGTGGGAGGATGGGTTAGCCTGGTGATGGGTATTAAAGAGGGCACGTTCTGCATGGAGCACTGGGTGTTATACGCAAACAATGAATCATGGAACACTACATCAAAAACTAATGATGCAATGTATGGGGATTAACATAACAATAAAAAATTTTAAAAAAAGAACTTGTTAAATGAATGCATGAATGAGATAACAAAAGGAAGAAAAAAGGAAAGAAGGTTTGTGTACTAGTAAATTCTCTGAGCTCCTTCTACTAAGACAGAACACTCTAGACTCCAAGGGAATGAAATGCATTATCTAGTGGCTCAAGTTTTATCTCACACATTCAGATGCAATTCACAAGCACTGGTTGATTTATTTATGCCCTCTTGGTCCTTGCATGAGTATAGTTCATTCGCTTTTAGTGCTGGTCTGTGTTGCTCAGTTGTTGGATTTTTAGACTACCTAGACCTGGGTAGGCCCCACAGCACATTAGCTGAGGTGCTGGTTTGCATTTCAGTAAGGCACTTCCTTATCGCTACGGTAGCTCTAACTATTTGCCAGGAGTCAGTGTTATCTCTGGGAGGGCAAATCAGCAAGATTCTATAGGAAAACCCCTAATACCTACAATGTTCTATTGATTAACAATGTGTTTATTCACTATTTATTGAGTCCTTACTATATACGAGGCACTGTACAGCTCTAAAATCATTGACTTTGCAGGCTAGTTATGCAAGATAAATTCACTATATCTAAAAAGAGCTTACAATTATTATTATTGTTATTATTATCACTTACCTTAGGTAACATTTCATTACAGTATGTTCTACGGCTTTAGAGATTGTCAAATCTCTCACAAAGAAACACAGAAATAGTTTAAAGAACTTACATTCTCCAAAAAATATCTTTTTATATTCATAACTGGATTTTTCAGTGAGATTGGTATTTGTTTCTCTATGAATTCATGCATCCAAATTTTGGGCAGGGGTACAAAATAGCTCACAAAATTTGTTCCAAGGATCCGTGTCATCATGACAAGCATAGTAACATTTCTGGCAAGTTAATATGCTACAAATAATAATAATTTAGAAGATGGGGTGGTTATACAAATGAGACAAATGTCTCAGGTAAAGCAATTAAAGATAGTAAAATAAATTAATTTTAATATTATTCTAATCAAGGCATTATTAGGAAGATTATCTTTTGCTATCCACTTCCAAATTATAGGATGTCTTTCAAAGTCAACTGAGCAACCCAGGTGAATATGTTAGGATTTTTTTGCACATTCTTCTACACTGCATACAATGACTCTGTCAATACAAGGGCAAAAGCAGTGAAAGGAATAAATCAGTGCGCAAGGCTAACTGGAATTAAATGTAATTTTTTTACATAGTGGCATTTACTGCAAGGGAATACTTTTATTTCTGTGGTTTAGTCATGTGGAAAATGCTTAAATGAGAAAAGCTATAGTAAAATAATTATTGTGATAAAACCAACATATCCACAATAACGCTACACCATCTTCTACTCTTTCCACCAATGTGTTATTCTTACCTTCTGAGGAAGTTTCTGTACTGTTCATCTCTAGCTTGAGCTGTCCTTCTCATTATATTCTGGAATACCTCTCGATCTAGTGCCCAAGTTTTAACATTGGTAATAGCTTTAGAAAAATCAAGAAAATAATATTGTTTAGCCCCACATTAAGAAAACATTCCAAAATATTAATCAATAAATTTTTCATATATTCTCATAAAATGATATTTCTTGGAAAATGCATTATTTAACATGCAAATGGAAGGAAGTGGTGACATAAATAGTGGGTAATTTTATAAAATCATCTTTGGCTTTGAAATGAACCATGATTTGGAAGTGAGTAGCAAAAGATTTCCTCTCTAATTATGTTTTGCTTAGGATGATATCAAAATTAGTTTGCAATTCCTAATTACATACTACATCATCAGGATGTATTTCAGATTTGTGCTGTGATACAAGAGAAAACCAGCAGCTTGTAGCTAGATCAGAGAGTGAAGAATTCACAAGTTGATAATTGGAAGTTAAAGATCTCTCAGTGTATGAGTATGTTTTTATGTCTTTTTATGTTGTTCAGACATTGTAGCTAATGAGAGCTAATATATTTTAAGGATCTCTATGGTTACTTTTGTATAAAGTGCATACAAATCATTTTCATAGAAATTATGCAAGACAGCTTTTGAGGCAATTTTTTTATAGGAAAGACATGGAAAGCAAGAATAAAATCTAAAAAGGAAGAAGAGCAGAAGTTGCAGCTCTAAAAGATCTAGATGAAATTACAATTGTAATTTTTTTAAAAAAAAAGAAGTAATGAGAGCCTATAAAATAAATCAAGCTCCAAAGCTTTGGTTTACCAAACTTTAGAGTGAATTAGATTTATCTTGACATACTTGTTAAAAATACAGATGCCTAGGCTCCATTGCCAAAGATTCTGATTTAGGTTTGGAGTGAAGCCCCAGAATCTGCATTTTTATCAAATCCTGCAGCAATTTTGAGATGCTTCAGCCAGTCCTAAACACTGAAAAACACACCTAATTAATTTCTGCCCAAGATTACCATGAATAAAGTTCATAAAAACAGGAACCCTTAAACTAATCCCAAAAGTCACTCAGGAAAACTCTCCTCAATTAATTCACATCCCTTTTGATATTTATATACTCTCCTTGGTTTCATTAATTTTTCTGGTTTATAATATGATCAGAACATCATGGAGAATGAAAAGCAAACATTCTGAATGAGCCAAAGGCAGATGTTAACACAGTAAAAAAAAAAAAAAAAGTGAAGTGGCAATTAAAGCAAATATTGCAATAATTCAATAATATGAAGCCATTTTCATATTTTATATGCAGGTACCTGAAAGAAATGTTATCTTAATTTGAATTATTTAGACAAGGACTTTCAATATAAATCCTGTAAGCACAGCATTTCTATTACACATGGGGCACACTGGGAGACAAAAATACTCAGCAGGCACTAGTGACCCAGATTGTCATAAACACTGGGTAATAATTCAAAAATACAACATTTCATCCCCTGTTACCTTTCACGGAGGCAGTTCTTGTACAGTTGTATAAAATGGCTAGCTCCCCAAACGTGGTCCACATAGGGATGGATGATAGAAATTTCTCCCCTTGGAACACCTCTAGTCGGCCCTCTATCAGTCAGAGTTAAAGAAAAACACAAACAATCAAAATCCATCTGGATTCCATAAATTACAAAAATAAGACAATCAGAAAGTACACAAAGCATACCGGCAAGATGTCTTATGATTCTCATCATAATATTGTGGTCGAGAGTGTAGACTGAAAGCAACTTGGCCATATCAGCTGATCACCTTGAAAGAAAGAGTTACCTACTCTGCCTGAGGTTTTTTGTCAGTAATGGGAATACGACTAATAATAATTACTTCATAGAGTTGTTGTGAGAATTAAATACGTTAATATAGGTAGGGAACTTAGAATAATGGCTAACACATAGTAAATGCTATATTAGTGTTAGCTATTGTTAATATTATTATCATTATTACAAAGCTCTTTCCCTGAAGCGGTGGATGGCAAGTGTTATATTTAAAATTCATTCTACCCCATGAAAATGTAGCACACAAAACTATTTCTCTTGTGCAAGGAACACAACAATCCCTGTATGTCCTGAAAACACAGCAGAGCTGTTCACACTAACAGAAGGACTAACTTGTCCTAACTGGGAAATGCACTGGCCCTGGAGTCTGACTGCCTGGCTCTGACCAATCACTGGCTGTGTAACCTTGGGTAAGTAATTCACCACACCTCCACTGTGGTCTAACACCTCAATCATGAAATGAATTAATAAACGAAAGTTGCTAAGAAAAGTGCTTGAGAAAAACAGTATCAAGAGAATTAGAAGACAAGCCACAGATTGGGAGAAAATATTTTTGCAAAAGACACATCTGATAAAAGAACGTTTTCCAAAATATACAAAGAACTCTTACAACTCAACAAAAAGAAAACAAACAATCTGATTTAAAAATGGGCCAAAGAGCTTAACAGACACTCACCAAGGAAGATATACAGATCGCAAATCAACATACGAAATGATGCTCCATATCGTATGTCATCAGAAAAATGCAAATTAGAACAACAATAAAATGCCACCACACGCCTAGTAGAATGACAAAAATCTGGAACACTGATAACACCAAATGTTAGTGAAGATGTGGAGCAACAGGAACTCTCCTACATTGCTGATGGAAACACAAAATGGGACAGTCACTTTGGAAGATGGTGTGGCAATTTCTTACAAAATTAAACGCAGCAATTGCCCTCTTTAGTATTTACCCAAAGGAGTTCAAAACTCAGATCCATACAAAAACCTGAACACAGATGTTTATAGCAGTTTTATTTATAACTGCCAACACTTAGAAATGACCAAGATGTCCTTCAGTGGATGAACAATAAACTGTGGTACCTCCAATGGGATATTATTCAGTGCTTATAATGAAATGAGCTATCGAGCCATGAAAAGACAAGGAGGAACCTTATGTGCATACTACTAGGTGAAAGAAGTCAATGTGAAAGGGCTGACATACTCTGTGATCCCAGCAATATGACATTCTGGAAAAGGGAAAATGATGGAGAAAATAAAAAGATTAGTGGGTGCCAGGGACGGGGTTGGGGGAGATGAACAGGTAGAGCACAGAGAATTTTTAGGGCAGTGAAAAACACTCTGCATGGTATTATAACGATGGATATATGTCATTATACATTTGCCTAAACCCATAGAAGGTGCAACACCAAGAGTGAACCCTATGGTAAATCATGGACTTTGATGCTTTATCAATATAGGTTCACCCGTGGTTAAAAAAAAAAAAAAAGTACCATTCTGGTGAGTGATGTTGATAACGGTGGAAGCTATGCATGTGTGGGGACAGGAGAGTATGGAAAATCTCTGTAACTCCCTCTCAATTTTGTTGTAAACCTAAAACTGCTCTAAAAAAGTTTATGTCTTAGAAAAATGAGAAAGAGTGCCCGACACTACTCTTCATCTAGGCAACAGCTGGGGGAAGGGAGAAAAGCAGACTCCTCACAATTCTTTTGGCCTGGCGATTCTCTTCTCCTTTCCATTCGAACAAGGGCAAATAAAACCTTACCTAGCAAACAGTCATATGCCAAAAAGACCCACATTCTTGAGGAAGAAAAATGGTGGGGTTAGTCTCTTTCCCTTGAAGAATTATTCTCTCCTTCTCCTAATTCACTGCTAAGCAGCTCTCTCCAGCCATCCATTCACCAAATCGGATTTGAGTACCCGTGTTATACTAGGAACTGGTCCAGCAGCCAGAGAGACAGCGTGGACAAAACACAAAAAATACTTATTCTGATAGAACTTAAATTGTAGTAAGAAATAAACTCTGTTTTGGCTCCAAATCCTACAGATATAATATGAAATTTAATAATTTCTCATTACAACTAAATTCTATTCCATTGAAACCACTTAGTGGTGCTGCTGAGTTGATACCATGGATTGTCATGCATTTCAAGTTTTTTTTCTAATTGATTATGACTCATGGTACTCGAGCAATACTGAAGAATTATATGGAATATCTGAAGTTTAAGCTAAATATGCTTTTATTATGGGCTATTCACGCCATATATTATAAAGGGGAGATTTTTAATTAATTTGCTCAGTCAATTACATCAGGCAAGTCAGTCCTTAGATAACACCGTAATTAATTCAATTAAGAAACTGTCCAATTTTCATTGCCATGTGTGCTCTAGCCCTGATTTCTACGACTGTTATTGATACTGGTTTCTGTTCTAATTCTTATCTGCCTTAGCCTTTCATCAGAGTCACTGGCAAGGAACATGATGGGCTGACATGAGTTTCTCATCCTTTCCTAGCAGATTCCATAAAAATTTGTTGGGTTAATGATGTATCTTTTCTTGTCAGAATTTCTGGTGTTGCTAAAGCAGAAGTGAAATGGCCAAGAGAAAAGCTGAAAGAGGGGGAAATTGCTCTGGATTGTCTGTCCCTAAAAACTTGAAGGCTGGCTAAATTCAGACTATAATTCACTTCCTGGGTAGAATAATTACTTGAGAATGACTGTATAATTTTAAGGGTGTCTACAAAGATGTTTATGGCATATAAACATCAATATTTATGAAACTAGCATGTCTGAAGAATCAAAGTGTATGAAAACAATCTTTCATACGGTTATAAATAGAATAATACATGTTTATTACTTTGCTTAGATCGGCAACTTCTGCCCCACACCTAAGGCCCTAAGGAAACAAGGATCATAAAAGCATTCTTAGATTGCCAGGAATTAGCAGTAGAAAATAAAAGGCCACAGCAAATCTGAATTTACCACTCCATCAGGGTAAGCCACTTTAACATTCTTCCTATAACTCAAAAAAGTGGGGGATTCAGAATTTGACAAGGGTTCAATAAGCATATGCCCTGTTCAGATCATTTATTGCTTCTATATCTAAAATAATTTTTTGAGTACCACTATAAGGCATGCACTTGATGTGCTTTAAGAAATCATTTGCCTATCTAATTTTTAAAATCTATCCAGCATATAAACATGTTCCTTATAAGCATATATGTAGAAAACCATTTATTTATTTTTTTTTTAAAGATTTATTCATTTGACAGAGAGAGACACAACGAGAGAGGGAAC